AGAATGCAGGAGAGCAAGAACAGGATTTTTTCTTGGTCTGACAAATTGCTGAAATATATAGCTGTCTGGCTCTTAGGTGATGTTCATAGAGGTTGATCAGTGTCCTTTATTTGTTCATATGCCTGAAAAATAATATTATTTATATTGCTTACATAGACAAAACCACCTAATCTTTTTATAAGCAAAAGTAGGAACAACCCCCTGAATTACCTATGTGTTGAACTGTTCCAGTCTTGACTTTCTTCTTCTTCAAGATGTTATAAAAAATCCCAAACCCACTTAAAATGACTTTTTCTGGTCACAGACCTGGATAGACTAGATGGTAGATATTGATTGAATGGCAAACTTACAGCTCTACTGCAAAACCTTGTGCAGGCATTGCACAAGTGAAGTTCAGTTCTGAAAGTATGACAGAGAAGGCAGCTCTACAGGCTCTGAGCTCAGTTTACCAGAGCTGAGGGAAGTCTCAACATTTTACCAGCACAGTATGAATTCCCTCTCAGTGACAACTGAATTTCCAAGACTCCCTTCAGAAATATATGTATATGTAAATAATACTGTTTAATGCAGGCTGCCACAGTACACTGATACACCACCATTAGTAGCTTGAAGAATGTTCCAACAGGGAACAAACCCTTTTGTCTTCTGTACTCTGGTAATTATCAGAAAAGTGAACTCACTTAATGAATTATCATTAGCTACTATGAACACTGAAAGATAGTATAAAAAACCTCTTTGATCAAAGAACTACACAGATGCCAGCTATTAATTAATGTAATGAAAGCAATCTATGAATTGGAGGAGAGCAGCAGAAACAACTGTTCTACTGATTTAATGAATGGCATTAAAGCTCTGTGTGAAGAAGGGCTCCTGCAGGCAGCAATCTGGCTTCTTCCAAGCTGCTCAGCTAGCTCTCACACTTTGGAAGAGCAGGCAGTGATAGCGAATACACAAACATCAGACAGTTCTGCTGTCACCACTTGACTGTAGGATGAAGAAGCAATTGTGCCACAGACAGCACAATGTCTCCTGTGCCTTCTCTACTGAGCATTATACCAGCACTGAGAAAAGAGAACAGTAAATCCTCACTGAGGATTTGATCTGCTTTGGTTTTCTGTAGG